GAGCTACAGTTTTGGAAGACTCATGTATAGACCACAGGTCAGGTTTAATTCTTCTCAAAATATGATATATTTCTATTAAAACTACAATTTCAGGGGCGCCTGGGTGGCTTAGTCGGTTAAGTGTCTGACTCTTGATTTCAGCTCAGGTCATGATGTCACAGTAAGATCGAGCCCCATGTTGGACTCTTCACTGACAGCACAGAACCTACTTGGGATTCTCTTCTCCCTCTCGATCTGCCCCTCCCCTGCTCACTCCTGCACACACACACACGTGCTCTCTCTCGCTCTCTCTCTCTCACGGAGGGTAGCAGGGTCCTGCTACCTCCATATATTTTCCATCCTGTTGCTAGTTCTATTCATTTTCTGCTGCTGCTACCCAAGGGAAAAAGAGAGACTTATCATAATCAAGTCTGTGCCAGTTCAAAGCTCTGCTATCACATCGTCGGGCCTGGAAAGGGGCGCTACCAGCCGTAATCTGTGCGGCAGGGCAGTCTCTGTCAAAAGGTATTACTTTTTTACTCAAGAATACTATGGTCATTTCAAAATTTAAGTCCAGTACTGCTTGGATAGAAGTAAGACAGGCTGTGATTTCACGTCCATTCTTTATCTCCCCCCCTTCCAAAAGTACCCCAAGAACAAGATTGTAGTTCTTTTCACTATTAAAACCTCTCACTTAGTCACACAGCTCACCCATAATTAAAAAGTAGAACTAGGGGCGCCCGGATGGCTCAGTCGGTTAAGCATCCAGCTTCGGCTCCGGTCACGATCTCCCAATTCATGGGTTTGAGCCCTGCATCGGGTTCTGTGCTGATGGCTCAGAGCCTGGAGTTCACTTCAGATTATGTGTCCTCCCTCCCTCTCTGCCCCTCCCCCTCTTGCACTCTGTCTCTCTCTGTCTCTCTGTCTCTCTCTCTCAAAAATAAACACTTAAAAAATTTTTTAAACAAAAAAAATAATAATAATAAAAAGTAGAACTAAATTCCATCTGTTTGCCTTACACAGTATGTATTTTGTATTCTTTCCATATAAGTAGTTCTTTCAAATTTCAAATGCTAAATGTGCTTCTCATTTCTTTATTCATCATTTCCATTCATAGCACTCTGGAGGGTAAGCGATTTCATATGTTAGTTTTACCTGATGGTGTTGTTTTAATCCAAAATGCAACCTGAATATTTCATTCACAAGTGAGCAGTCTCCACTAAGGTTAGCAGCTCGAACCTATCACAAAGACAGGTGAACAAAAGGAAAATAAGTGCTCATGCTCTATAAAAATTGTAAGAGAATCTAACATTAGCATGTTTTTCTGAGAACAGACTTCTAAAGAGCAGATATCTATGAGCTATGCTAGACAATGCAGAATAAATGGGCTGGCGGGGGGCGGGGGGAGGTCAATCATTTAGCTAAGGGAATTTTCAAAACTTTATACAATAACCTTATTGAAAGAACTAATTTCTTTTGGAACCAAAAGTCAGAAAGTTGGACGTCAGAGTTAAAGTCCACGCTTTCTACAAGATATATTTCTATATATTACCAAAAGGACTTCAAGAAAGCATGCTTTCAAAGATCTACAAAGTGAATTTCAATGTGAGCTTAAAATTGAATACATCAGTATCTAAGACTCTCCGAGAATATGAACCTCCTACCGCTAGCCCAAAACACCGCAACTCTCTTGGAACCTCCCTAAAGCCTGTGTAAATTCATGCCTTCCTCCAGGGCATCAACTGTCCTACGAAAAATTAAGTTCTTGAAACTTAAGTTCTTAATTTTTCAAAGAATCAAGAACATTCTACACCTGTCATGCTATGAGCATGACAGCCTGAAGTTAGGGCATACTTTCTAATTTACTATATTTTTAAGGTAAAATGCAGCTTCAATAGATGAAACAGCCTTCTAACTACCGACATAGATGCTACAGCCAACCTGGCCACATTTTTGCCAAAGCACTGCAGCCAGAAATGGCCCACTTCTTGTTACTTCTACAATACCATGGCCTCGTTCCTCTGAGGAGTTCGAGGCACCTAACACACTTGAACTGGCTCACAGGCATTCATTCTCATAACACCCAAGAGAGAGACTTACTTAAAAACTCAGGTTTCAGTGTACTCTCCAAATAATATGAGTTGTAATTAGATGCAATGGGGCTGCTTATTCATTTCAAGGGAGAGAGAAAATAATCTGAGTTATAAAGCATCAGCTTGAAATGTATATTCGTTTTTTTAACTTCTCAGCACATTGCACTCTTCAATTAATGAAATGCAAGTATTAAATACATACGTCTAAGAGCATAAATATATCGCGCTTCTGAGAACAATCCAATGTGCTTAATACTAAAAAAAAACTTCTTACGTTGTATTTTTGAGACTAAATGTTTTACTCTCAGGCAAGCAAAGAGCTCTACCTCGAGGAGGGAGCACAACAAACCAGTTAAGAACTCGGGTTGTAATTCTGCCTCTGCCACTTCCGAACCCATGGATCTAAAAAATGCCTCGCTTTCGACATATATAAAATGGGGATGGTAGCATCTACCTCAATGGACTGTGGTGAACAAAGTAAGAATCCACAGAAGGAAAAATAGTTTAGAATTATCAAGTCACCACTAGTATTAGAATTTAAAGGTTATAATTCAGACAATTCTAAAAGGATGCTTAAAATGTCTCGTGTCTCAAAATTGTGTTCAGTCGTTAAAAACAGAAACCTAAGAATGGCATGGAGCCACGACAGTAAGAAAAGGAATATGTTTAAGTAAATTATGCTTCAATACAATGTCCAAACTCAGAGTGCTCCAGGGGGAAGAAGATCTTTTACGGTAAGACTCACCTCCGAGCAGGCCAAATGTCTGACATCGGTGAACCAGTGGACGTGAGCACGACAGTGATCAAACGCATGAATGAGCTCATGGGTGACCACTCTGTTCATATGGGCCTGATTACCGATGTTGTTCTGGCATAAAACAATCTAGGAGGCAACAAAATAAGGGAAGTTCCATATTTATAATATCCACTCTCTTTTTGTAAATCCCATCTTCTCACCAGCTGGGCAGAGCCTTCACCCACCCTACTCCCTCAACCCTACACCTACCTACTGATCACGGTCTGGCTCTAATGTACCCGTTCCATTAAGCCTTCCCAGTGACCAACTTCTCCCTCTTCTCTCTCAACTACAGCAGCACTTAAATGCCATCCTCGGTGAGCTGGTGGACTCCACAGCACCATATTAGGAGCGGGCTTTGGAATGCAGCAGACAGGTTCAAACTCCAGCCCCACTCCTTACTAACTCGGTGACCTTGGGCACTTTTCTTAACCTCTGTCTCTGTGCCTCAGTTTCCTCAACTATAAAAAGGAGATCATGAGAGTACCTACCTCAGAGAATTGTGAGAATTAAATGAGAATACATGTAAACTGCTTCTTATCAAGTTTCTGAATGAGCAATGAATCAACAATGAATGACCACCACTGTCTCATTCTACTAGAATTGCCAGGAAAAATCCTCAGAAAGACCTTCAGAAAGAAGTGCAAAAAGCCAACAGCACACTGAGCAGGACCCTATAAGAATAATAAAGACATGAGGGATCCTAGTAATAATAGTTACCATTTATTGTGTACTTACTATGTTCCAGACACTGAGATATGTGCCATTCATCCAACATGAATGATATATACATTCATCCAACATTCATCCTTCAACTAATATTTATTGAGATCTACTACTTATAATTTATAACTAAAATTTATAATATATACTAATGGCCCTAGAAATTAATCAAACAGTTGCCAAAATGTTAAATACGTGCAATGGCAGGTGTCATGAAGAAAAATCCAAGATGTCATGAATGCATACAATGAGAATGCCTGACTTGGTCTGGAGGATTGGGAAAGGCTTCTCTGCAGAAGGAATGTTTTAATGAGGATCTCAGGGATGACTAGGAGTTAAACTTGAGGGTGGGGAAGGGAGCCTGCCAGACGGAGCAACCTGTGCAAAGGAGAGGAGCACTTAAGGAACAGAACGAGAGGCTGGAAGCAGGCCCGTATTGCTGAAGCACAGAGCTGCAGGTGACAGGCATGAGATAAGGCTGGTGAGGTCCGCTAGAGCCAAATCACTCTGTATCCTGAGAACAGTGGGAAGTCACTGAAAGGGAGTAGTGAGACAGGGAGGTGCTTTTGTTTGTTTTTATCCTTTGACTCCAGTTGTAAAAATAAGCGGATGACCAAACTGGGTGCCGAGAGACTGGTTGAAGGCTAATGAGATATTGTAGGCAAGAGATAATGGTACCTGAGCAGGGACAGTAAGACCCCCCCCCAAAAAAAATAAAATATTTAGGAGGCAAATTGGACAAAAGTTAATGATAGAATATGGGAAGGGAATCAGAGGTACAAGGATGATCTCTACATTTCTAGCTTGGGTAACAGGATAGATGGTGGTACCATTCACTGAGATATGCAAAACTACAACACCAGGTTGGGTGGGGATAGGGGATGGTATAAATCATCAGTTTGGACTTGAACAAATTTGTGAGGTCTCGGGTGCCTTTAAGACATCCAAGTGTGGGTACTAAGTGGGCATCTGGATATACAGATGTAAAGTTCAAAAGAGAGCTCTGGCCTAGGAAAAGAAATGAGATCCCCTTGGCAGAGTACAGAGGAAGAAAAGAAGGGGATCTAACACCGAGGATTGAGAGACTTCCACGTGTAACAGCTGGTAGACGGAGCTAGCAAACAGCTAGCAACGAGGGTCATATACTGGAAACCAGGGGAAGAAAGTGTCTGACATTACCTGCTGAAGCCAAGTGTATGCATATTATATGACCCAGTAATTCTGTTCCTAGGCATAGACACAGGAGTGACTTTTGCACAGGTGCACCAGGAGAAGATGTGAAAAATATTCACAGCAGTATTGTTCTTAATAACAAAGTTGGAAACAATAAATACGGTAAACTGCAGTATGGACATACAGAGGAACACTATACAACAGCCAAACTACACAAACCAGAGGTGTGTACAACAACATGGAAGAATCTCAGGACGCTCAACAAAAGAACTGTTCCGGGAAACTAACTACTGCGTGATTTCATAAAACTACAAAGTATCACACAGAACTCAAAATATTCCCTGTATAAAACTTAAAAGCCAGGCAACTAAATAACACATTGTTTGTACACAGAGATGGTAAAACTATTCAGAACAGCAGGGAATGATTATCACAAAAGTCAGAGTAAGAAAGGGAGACGAAATGTGATCCAAGAGGGGCACACAATCTTCTGAAATCCTGGCAATGTGCTATTTCTCAAATCTGGTGGCAGTTACACGGGTGCTCATTTTATTACTGTGACCAAAAGCATACCTATAGGTTTCTTGCTCTTCTGTGTGAATGAGACACTTCACAATACAAATTATAATTTAAAAAAAAATAAAAGGAGTGCCCAACTATGCTCAACACTACTGAGAAGTAAGATACAAGTTCAAAATGTCCACTCTATTTAACCCCAAGGCGGGCCGGGGGGCGGGGGGCGGGGGGCGGGGGGATGAATTTACCAAGACCCACTTTGAGAGCTATTAGGGATTGTTACTATCAGTTTACAAATGAGGAAACTGAGCATAAGGCAAACAGCTTGCCCAAGCCCACAGCCAATAAGCAGGGGAACTGGATTTGAACTCAATTCTACCAGACTCCAAGACCCAGACCTCTCACTCCTATGCTGTTTTTTTTTTTTTTTTTTCTCATGATTACTGTGAAACAGCTATAAATAACCAAAATATATATAAAATTCCCCAGGAGAAAACAAGTAAGTATTGTTAAACAGGGTGATATGTTCAAGATGGGAGGTGTTACTTATAAAACCTTCATCTACCCTCATCACATGAGGGTAATATAATTCTTCTACCAACTCCAAGATACTGTCAAAACTCTCCAATTACTTAAAACTAATAATATTTATTGAACGCTTACTGCGCTTACTATGCTAAGCACCTTACATGAGGTATCGCACTTAATTCTAATAACTGTTCTATGAGACAGATACAATCATTAGCCATATTTTCCAAATGAGAAACCTTATTCCCCTAATCAAAAATGTTCAAAGGTATATCACTTCTCACCAGGTACAGGTGAAACTCTTTAAGCATTCAAAGCCTCCCACCATATAGCTTACCTTTCTTTCCAACCCTATTTCCCCATATTCCCCACACAGTCTTGCCCTAGAAATTAATCAAACAGTTGCCAAAATGTTTAAATACGTGCAATGACAGGTGTCATGAAGAAAAATCCAAGATGTCATGAATGCATACAATGAGAATGCCTGACTTGGTCTGGAGGATTGGGAAAGGCTTCTCTGCAGAAGGAATGTTTAAATGAGGATCTCAGGGATGACTAGGAGTTAAATTTGAGGGTGGGGAAGGGAGCCTGCCAGACAGAGCAACCTGTGCAAAGGAGACAGTTGCTACACTAGACAACATGCCATTCCCTAAATATACTTTGTCCTTTCCCAATACACCACCTTTGCTCACGATACCCCTTCCGTGGGCAACAGTCTTTGTCTTCTTTGTCCCTGAAGAAGCTTTATATGCTCTAGCTGAATCTGTTGGTATTTTTCATTCATATCACAGTCCCATTGTGGTAACTACACCCACGTAAAATAGTTTAACCTCCCTCAAATTTTTATCATTCTGTGTTCGTGGCTCATCTCCCTTAGGAAAACATAAGCTCCTTAAGAGTAAGAACCATAAGATTCATTTTTTGAATCGTACACAAAGGCTACCAAACAGAACGCCCAGCATGTGGAAGGTGCTTAGCAAACATCAGGAAAGAGAACAACTTGGCAAAAATACCTACCTGAGATGTTGAAGCATCAAAACCTCCACTGACATTTCCATCACAGTCTTCACAAGAAAAGTGTCTTTCTTTGTTAACAGCACTAAAAGGCAAGAATGGATTAAAGAAACAATGTGCAAAAGCAGTGTGCAAGTGGTGCGAGGGAAACAGCCCTGGGCAAGGAGTCGGGAGCCCCATATCATCAAGCCCTTTCAAAACTAACACCTTCAAGACTCAGTTGTCTCATCTGTAGAATAAGGAAATCATCCCTGCAAAATCTATCCTAGTTCAACTCCCATGACGTGGTTCCATCAAGCATCTGGTCAACTGATTAAGGCCACATTGGAAGTATGCTGGAGGTGCTATCCCTGGGCCAGACTGTGAAGAAGTGGACCTCAGATGTCACTTTCTCTAATTTCCTCAAGGTTCAACAACACCCGGAAGGCTCCTACATAACAAGCCGAGATTTCTTCTCCATGAAGGACGATGCTGAGGCTGGTAGAGCGGGAAAGCCAGGTTTGGTAATTACTTACAAGACTTTAAGTGTGGTCTTTACTAAATACCGGAGGTGAACGGTAGAGCCAGAGATTTAGAGTTAGGGCGGAAGATGTCTGAAGAGAGCCAGACCTGTCTGGAAAGAATGCAGAATCACCAACACCTACCATATGGAAAAGGCTTTGTGGCCAGAAGTGAAAAACTGTCAGAAGTTGCAGATTGGGGTGTTTTTTGTTTGTTTGTTTTTAGCAGCCGGAATACAGACGACCACTTTAAATAGATTTACTTACCAACCTGAGTGCTTCATGGCATCAAGTAGAAGTTTGACGTAGGGATCTAGAAAGATATTTGATTCAATTAGGTATGCTAATCAGGAAAAAAGAGCACCAATTAAATTCTCCAAAAAGCAGTATAGGATATTATGAAAGAGTAAGTCATGGGCCGCCTGGGTGGCTCAGTCGGTTAAGCATCTGACTTTGGCTCAGGTCATGATCTCATGGTTTGTGGGTTCGAGTCCCGTGTCAGGCTCTGTGCTGACAGCTCGGAGCCCGGAGCCTGCTTTGGATTCCGTGTCTTCCTCTCTCTGTCCCTCCCCTGCTCACATTGTCTTGCTGTCTCTCAAAAATAAGTAAAAAACATTAAAAAAAAAAAAAAGTAAGCCACAAATCTTAATGAAGTAATACTATCTTAAAACTGGTAAAAGATGGATATGAAAAGACAAGCTTAAATTAACATAAAAATAAGTCCTTAATGAAATAAAACTGTGACACAAATACCAAGATGGATACTACTAAACATCTCAAATGATATCAAACATGCTTGTAAAGCCCATGTTTAGTTACATGATCGAAAACATTGTATTAAAGCATATACCAAAAGAATGAGGGAATTGGGGGCCTCTCCATAGAAATGAACTGCGGCACAGCAAACAGATGAGAGGAAGGGAGTAAGTGGCTCGTTGACGTCTTTCCTGATCAGACCGCAGGGTAACAGTGTCCCATTCTAAGTACCACACTCTAAACAGGACCTGCCAACTTCAGCTCTTCCCCGGGGGAAGGCAACTAGAACAGTACAGGACTATGCTCAGTAAGAAGCAAGAAAGGAGTTGTGGGTGTGGAGGTGGAAGGGAGAATAAAAATCTTAACTCGGACCACAATGGCCTCAAGTATCTGAAGGGCTGCCGTGTGGGAATAGATGCAGATAATATTTGTTCAGAGAGCAGAACAAGAACCAAAGAGTAGAAGTTACAGTATGAGAAAGGATTTCCCAACAATTAAAGCTGTGACTACAATATACATGTAGCCACAAGGAGCCTCGAAGAACTGGTAACCTGTTCCAGCAGAGGTGTATAAACTCTCTAGTCAGTGATGGCACAGTGGTTTTCCAGTGTAGTGTGCGAAGGCCTAGATAACTCCTGTGGGACCTTCCACTGCTTTTCTTTTAATTATTTTTTTAACATTTTTCCTTCTTTTGAGAGACAGAGAGAGACACAGCGTAAGTGGGGGAGGGACAGAGAGAGAGAGGGAGACACAGAATCTGAAACAGGCTCCAGGCTCTGAGCTGTCAGCACAGAGCCCAACGTGGGGTTTGAACTCACGGACCACGAGATCATGACCTGGGCTGCAGTCAGATGCTCAACCAACTGAGCCACCCAGGGGCCCCAGGACCTTCCACTTCTAAGCATCTATTAGCCTGTAATAATTATGGGAAAGTAAAACAAACCCAAATGCCTCTAATATCAACTTTCCACATAGGGGTCTTATCTCAACACACAAATGCACAGCATACCATATGACATAGGCAAAAAATTAGAAAACGAAACCAAGGTTTTTTTTTTTTTTTAAGTGCTGAAAGGAAAAACAAGTGAGTAAAAGAAAAGTAGGGAGATGAAAAAGACAGATATAGCTTACTACTTTAACTGCCCCCTCTTAAGAGTATGAACAGTAAAACAATTATTAGTAATAAGTGTTTTTAGTGTATATCAGGCATCAAGAACCATATTAAATGTTTTATTATTCAAGCAACTAAGAGAGTTTTACAAAATTGAAGTGGGTTCCAAAGTCTATAGTACTCTTACTAAAATAATAATAGTTTATTATTATTATTATTATTATTATTATTATTGCAGGGAGCACAGTGGTTCAGACAGGACCTGCAGTATTTAGAATGGATTTGCTTTGAAAAAAAAAAAAAAAGAGCGCTGGGTGTTAGATGTAAGTGATGAATCACTAAATTCTACTCCTGAAATCATCATTACACTATATGTTAACTAACTTGGATTTAAATTTAAAAGAGAGAGAGAGAGAGAGAGAGAGAGAGAGAACAAAGATCTCCCTTGAGGCCGGGTCCCAGGTTTAGGATTGTAAAGCTGTAAGTTGATGCTTTAATGCCACTGACACTTCTCCCAGCATCCCTCCAGGAGTTCTTGCTAATTGAGATTTGCTAATTCCTACTGGGGTTCATGCTCAGCTCGCCACCCTCCTCACATCCTTTCTCTACATCTCCTCCACTGTTTGTCTCTTCCACTGTAAGCACAGTTAGCCATTACTCAGCTCCTGATATGGTCGCAATCTACCTTCATAAAATCCATTCCTCACAACAACCCTAAAAGAGGTATTTTTATACCTACCCTTCCCTTTTTATGTGTGCAGATAAGGATAAAGGAGATCAGAGAGTTAAGTCAGTCTTCCACACCTGATAAGGAGAGGGACCAGATCTGAACCTATATCCAACTCTGCAGACCGGCTCTTTCCACTGCGTTCCACTTTCAACCTCTAAAATGCACCGTCCAGACCCTTACTCATCTTTGTATTTCCCCACACCAGAACTTAGGAGGCATTGGATACATATTTCCAAGTGAATACAACCTCATCATTCCCATTAGCCCCTTTCCCCTCCCCCCTCCCTGGATTCCCTAACATGCGGATAAACTCAAGAAGGCTGGAAAATCTCTAGGTGGTTGGCTTTTGAACTGTGATTGGCCAGCTATGAAATAGTAACCTTGCTTTCGGACAAGTAGGTTTAAGACTTCGATTTTCTAAATGTATCTGAAGTAAACTTAGGAAGTCCATGTCAATGTAAAGGAGTTAAGAAATCTCTAGTGTAATGTCCCTGGGGCTGGAGAAATTGGTCAGTAGGTAGTTGTGTCCCTATTTAACCCACAGCAGTGATTCTTGACTCTTTGGGGGTCCGTGGCCTCTTCCAGAATATGATGAAGTTAGAACTCTCTCCCCAGAAAAATGCACTCAGATGCATGCACACGATTTCGTAGTCCATTTCAGAGGTTTCTACGCTGGGAAGCCCATCCATGCATGAAGGTTAAGAACCCCTTCCAACGAAGGTAGTTTGCAAAACTGTTTTTGCACTGCCGGCAGTAATGCCTTAATTAACGAGTCTCTAAAACTCTGCTTCGCCCACACGCTGAAGTCCCCATACCGCTGCATAACTTACATGAGAAATCAGAGGATCTATCAGACCCGTGAGTGTGACTGAAAAGGGCAAACTCCTATCCGACTCCTCCCTCAATCCACAAGCAAGAGTAGGGCTAAAAGGCCCCAACACCACCTCTGATAAGGAAACTGAGGCCCAAACCCCACCACCACCACCCCGCCCCCACGAGGCCGAATCTGTCCGGACTCTGCGCAGAGGTGCCTGAACCCTGCTCATGCCACACCTGGGGGCGAACCCAGAGACTCCTGTCCTCTGGGTCGCAGACACCACCCCGCCGACCCCCGGCCTCCGGGTCACGGTTCCTACTTGTCTGCAGCGTCTTCAGGAGCATAAGCTGGCACTTCTGGTTGTTGGTGAAGAAGCTGGAAAGGAACCCTTGCTGGGGATTCCCCTGAGCCAGCCGCTCGGGGAAGACCTGGCACGCGACGTGTTGCTGCTGCAGCTGTTCCCCCGCAGCAGAACCGGGCCCGCTCTCGTCCGGAGCTCCAGCCATGCCGCCCGCAGACTTCGCCGCTGCTTCCTCCTGCCTCGGGCGGCCGGGTATGAGACCCGGGGAAGGCAACCTCCTTCCCGCCAACCGGGCCGCCCAGATCCTCCTTGTGCCCGGCCGAACCGGCCCCAGGCAGGGTGACCGCCACACACAGTGTCTGAGGACTTTGCGGCTGCTGGGCCTCCGAGCCCAGCAAGGGACGCTGGGCGGGGCGAGAGGCGCGGGGAGGGGCGGGGCTAGAGACCAGGCGAGGGGCGGGGCCAGAGGCGCGGGAGGGACGAGAAGGGGCGGGAAGAGGCGGGAAGGGGCGGGGCTAGATGCCCAGGGAGGAGCGGGGGCCGAGAGGGTGCGGGGCTCTGGATCGCCTACAGGCCGAAAGACTCGGGCCTGGCAAGCGCCCTTGCAGGCGTCTCGGACACTGCTGTGGGCTTCGCTGCTCCCCCTAGGCGTGGTTGGCCCGTCCTCGTAAGCGTGGTTATGCAGCCCGCCTCCTTGTGGACACGCCTTCCTAGGTACTAGCCACTAAGTCCCTTCAAGCTCCGAAGGTCTCAGGCACCGTCCCAGTCCCTTGCCTTTTCCAACCAGCAGACCAATTGCAGTCTGGCCCACCTGTCTCCTGACATCCCAAGCCATATTGAAAGCAGTACTTCTCAGAAACGTTTAAAAGCTGCAATTATAATGACTGGTCATCTCAAAATCCTCAAAATGTGGGACACAACTACTTTTTTTCTGTCTCACCTGGGCCCATTCATCCACCCCACTCTCTTGCCACCCCAAATAACTTTCTGATAACATAACACAACCAGTTTCCTTCCATCTCCAAGCCTTAACTCACTTCCATCTATTAAGCCCTTTTCCTCAGTCCTTATGATCCAGGTCGTGATCAAATCTACCCACTCTGCAAGGTATTCCCAGATATCTTAATCAAAATTATTCTCTCCTGGTGTCCCAGCGTACCAAGTACTTTGCATCTGTTATCATTTTCATCACAACTTGTCGGGTTTTAACTAATTTGTGTTTCTCTTTTTCCACTAAATTACCCAGTTCAACTCACATATTTCTTCAGCACCTACTATGATGGACCAAGCATAATGGCAGAGACTGAGAAGGCAATAATAAGAGAATTGATGAGGTTGAAGAGGAGCATATGGTTTATGTGAGAAACACATTGAAATTATTCGTGTTCAAGAGACCTTGAGGATTATAAAGAGTACTTTATGTGTCATGAGTGCTTCATAAATATCTAGATTGAGTGCAAATCGAAACCACAATGAGATATCACCTCACACCTCTCAGAATGTCTATTATCTAAAAGACAAGAAATAACAAGTGTTGATGAATATGTGGAAAATTGGGAACCCTTGTGCACTGTTAATGGGAATGTAAATTGGTGAAGCCGCTGTGAAAAACAGCCTGGAGAACCCTCAAAAAATTAAAAATAGAACCAACATATATGATCCCGCAATTCCACTTCTGGGTATTTAGCCGAAGAAAACAAAAACACTAACTTGAAATGATATATGCACCCCATGTTCACTGCAGCATGGTTTACAATAGCCAAAAGATGGAAGCAACCTAAGTGTCTGTTGAAGAATGAACGAAGAAATAGCGGTATAAATACACAACAGAATATTGTCCAGTCAAAAAATAAAAAGAACAAAATCTTGCCATTTGCAACAACATGGATGGACTGCGAGGGCATTATGCCAAGGGAAATAAGTCAGACACAGAGAGACAAATACCATGATTTCTCTCAGACATGCAAACTAAAAAAACAAAAACAAAAGCCCACAAGTTCAAGGATACAGAGAACAGCTTGGTAGTTGCCAGAGGTGGGAGTAGAGAATGGGAGAACCAGGTGAAGGAGGTCAAAAGGTAAAAAGGAAAAAAAAATCATAGAAAGATAAAAATGAAATGTATGTAGAATAAATGACAGCAAAAGTCACGTGGGTTAAACAGTGTTCTACTGGCTTTGTATTGATTGGGAAGTGGTACTAATTTGTAGTAGATTTATTTAGTCAAGGATACACGTTGTAATTACAAGGAAAACCATGAAGAAATAGCATAAAAGGGCAAAACGAATGGACTAATAGAGGGCGGAAATGAAAAACACACAAATTGGATGGGTTGCTAGGATTATTCATTCATCTGAAATATGAAAACATGAACACCTCCTAAAAACAGATTGCTAAAGCTATAATAGTTTTTTTAAGCCACTTTATTGAGCTCACCTTAAATTCATTATTTCTAATCTTGACTACAACCCTGCAAAATAAGTGTTATTATCACTATTTTGCTGATAAAGAAAGTGGGCTCAGCAATATCGAATAATTTATCCAGGACCACACAACCAACTTTCAATCTAGTTAGGGAGCTACCACATAAACGTATAGAAAACTACGCCATTACAAGTTATTGTAATGAATCTGCAATACTAAGGAAAGTCTAGAGAAGATGGGGCCTGACATGGACCATAGCCTGTAAGCATGTGAAATACTATGGGAAATCCTATCCAGCTACATGAATAAGGAAAAAAATGCAGATTAAAAGCTGTAACTTTCCCCTACCAAATTAGCAAATAGTTTTTTCATCACTGAAGGCAACAAAGAAGGAAAACTAGAAAAAAATTACACCAAAACATGATCAGTAGATGCCTAGATATTGGGATATTTTTATTATATTCTGAATTTTGCTAGTGTCCCACAATAAGCACGTATTACCTTTACAATCAGAAAAGTAAACTTTAAAGAACTGAGTAGGCTTTGGATGCCGTGTGTGTACCTTCATCCTTTTACAGTATAAAGACAGAGTGGAATGGGAAGGTGTTGTGGGAGAGATAAGGAAGTGCAAACACAAAGGACTAATTTAAGAAAGAGAAAAGTAATTATCACAAAGAAATGAGAACATGAGCAAAGAGTTAGCTACAAGGATTTTCATTTCTCCATTGCAGCACCAAACAAGAGCAAAAAGGACAGAAACTGTTTCAGTGTCCAAGAGATACAATGGAATACGTGAAACCATATTGTTGTAGTGTCCTTTTAAACATATTCAGAAAAGTTAAGTTACAAAACAGCATAAACGCGATCCCATTTTGAAATTTCATTTACTGTATCTGTGGCAAGAGTCTGGAAGGCTACCCCAGTGTTTATTTCTCTGTGGCTGAGACGTGGGTGGTTTGTTTTGTTTTGGGGCTTCTCTTCGTTTTCTAAAGCAAAAATAGTTGCTTTTTACTTGTAAGTTGTTTAAGTATGTCACAGCAACACGTGAAGTTGCATATCATTTTAAAGTGTGTTCCATCTTTCAGCTTTTTAATAAGGTTTAATCCATTTATCTAGGGCCCACAAAAACGGGATGGCTTTACAGCCTTTCCTTAGCTCTCCAGTCATTTTGAATGTTGGGAAAGAACAAAACATTCCCCCCACCCCGCCCCCCAGCCCCC